TTATCTAGCGGTTGATTTTGAATGGGCCTTTAGGGGATTTGTTCTGGCCCAAATAATCAACAAATGAATCACAGAACAGGGGGGTGTACACGCCAGTTTTTATGGGCTTAGGCGTTAACTCATGGAGCAGGCCCAAACAGGTTTGACACTTTTTTGTTTAGGGTTTCATCTTGTTTTCCTCAGAATAGAGTTACAGAGGCTTGATGAGCGGCGTCGTTCCCATCTTCTTCTTCGTTGTCCTCTTCATCTTTCTTTAAGCAATACTCTTGACCGAACTCCGCCTATGGCCACTAGGCGCCACCTCCAACTCCTCCTCCCTCCATGGTTAAGCGAGGTGGAGACACGAAAAGGTAACGGTTTCTTTTTTATGTTTTAGGGTTTTGGATTTTAGTCTTGCTCGTTATTGGTTTTTGACACATTCTGATCTTCTATGTTATTATTGTTGTGTGAGGTGTTAAAGAAAGGAGGACAATACCTTTGTTGGAGGGAAGGAGGAGAGCTTGGACAAGAGGCTCCTTAGGCGGCCAAGGCGTGGAGTGATGATGCTGATGAGCTTAGTTTCTGGTATTTTTGTATCTTGCTTGCCTCTTTTAATGGTTTTACAATGATAGCTTTCTGAAAACCCTAGCTTGTTTGCTTCTTTTCCTCTTCTGATCGCTTGCCTCTGTGAAGATGATATCTGAGATGCTTGTTCCTCTTCTTTTTTGGCTTTGATTCTGAGTTGGATATGCTAACCCTATGATGAATTTGATTCTGAGGGTTTTTGTTGGTGTTTTTGGTTTTGATGTTGGCCCTATGATGAAGTTGTTCTGAGGGCTCTTTGAATGCTATGCAGTTTGTGAGTTTGACTCGTGTTTGACAGGCTTCAAGGCTTATGCAGGCTTTTGGATGAACAAGCTTTTAGGCTTGCTTCTGTTATGTTTTTTAAAGGCTTTTTGATTGCTTGTTTGAGTTTTGTTTGAATAAGGCTTGTGACAGGTTGGTTGGGATTTGCTTTGACATGCTTGCTTTTACTGGTTTTTAGACAGGTTTATGAGTTTTAGCAGGCTTGAGGTGTTAGCAGGCTTGAGGTGTTAGTAGGCTTCAGGCTTGTGTTGATACAGTTTTGAAACAGGCTGGAGGTTTATCAGTTTGCTTGCTTGTTTCTGTTATGTGTTCTAGGCAGGATGTTACAGTTTGGAGGCAAGCTTAAGCAGGCTTGAAGGGCTTGAAGGTTTACTGGTTTTTAGACAGGTTTATTGAAGCTTATGCTGGTTTGTATGGCTTTGGGACAAGCTTCTGGTTACAGGCTTGCTTCAGTTTGTAAGCTTGTTTATTTTCTTCAAGGCTTTCAGGTTTGTTTGTATTATGCAGGCAGGTTGAATGTAAGCTTGCTTGAGGTAGTTTGGAAGCTTGTTTTGAAGTTACAGGCTTGAGAGCTTGTATTATATTTTTCTTTATGTTTTTCTGCCTCCTTTGAACTGTTCTGATCTCTTTGTTTTATATCTCTTTGTTTTATATCTCTTTGTCTTAAGCCTGCCCACTGTAAGCCTCTCTACTTCTCTCTTTCTTTCTCTCTCCACATAAAAAAGCATTGTTTATTGCTTAGACTGTACTTTTTCTGAAAAAGTGTTGGTTGGGAAATGATGAAGATTTTGAAAATGTATGCTTGCAATGTTAGCTTTCCTCTGCATATTTCCAGATTTCCTGCATATCTTTTGTGTACTTGTTGACAGTTTTTTTTTTGGATAGCTTTGATATCTTTTGGCAGCTTGGTTGACATCTCTTGGTAACTTAGTTTGCCATGTGCAGTTTGTTTGTAACTTGTTTGTTTTAGTGACAGTCTTGTTTGAATTTATGCATTCTTGGGAATTTTAACATGCTGCCTTGTATTTAATTCATATGCTTGCAAGATAATTTTCTTTTCTTTCTTTGTGAACCAAGAGTCTTCTTGTGATTTGCAGAGAGGGCGAACAAACTGATTCCGGCCAACACTTTTAATGATGAGTTTTAATTAACTGTCTGAGAATACTCTTAATTTATCTGTACTGACTTCTTTCTTTTTTGTTTTTGCAGATAAATATCAATTGAGCAAAGGATGCAATCAGTAGAAGATGAAGATTTCCAGAGATTTAGGATATAGTTTTAAATTACTTTTAATCATTGTAATAATATTAATGTAAACAACTGTAAATAAATTTACAGTGTTCAAATAATATTTGTAACAAACAATTAAAAATGAATAAAAATCTTTCTTTGTCAGATATCTCTTTAATTCTTCTGCATTTATTTATTTAATTACTTAAATTTCTTGAATTATAATAATTGGAAATTATCCAATAATTTTAACTTAGAAATTATAAATAATCAATAAACGTCCGGCGTTCCGAATAACCAAAAGCAATGCACAGTTAAACAAACAAACGTCCATATGTCCTTTATCTCACTGATCAAACTTAAACTTCAAACTTTCAATCAGAAGCCTCAACCCATGTCCCAGAGTCAATTGAAAAGAACTGCAGAATCAATTCCTTCTGAGAATGCGCGCGCAAACCCTAATTCTTGATTTATTGTCAAAGAAACGTCCGCCTGATCAAACCCTGATCCAAACTCAAACAAACTCTAGCAATTTGCTTGTACTGATTCAACAGTTAATGGAAACCCTAATTTTGCTTGACTGGTAAGAAAAGTCTGTTTGACCGATTCTTAAGCCAATCTAAAAAATCAGGAAAAGCCCGAGGCTGTGATTTCTTGTGGAAAAGAGGAGGGCAAATTTCGGGGTACAACAGAGTATATGTAAGAAGAAGCAAGAGTGAATTGCTTATACTATGTCTTTATGTAGATGATTTGTTGATAACAGGTAGTTGTAAAAGTGAGATCGAAGACTTCAAAGGTAATCTCAGCAAGGAATTCGAAATGTCTGATTTGGGTGAGATTTCATATTTCCTTGATATTGAATTCTACAAGAGCAATAAAGGTTTGATGATGCATCAAAGAAGATATGCAGGAGAAATTCTCAAGAGGTTTGAGATGGAAGAATGCAACTCAACTTCGATACCTGAAGAACCAAGACTGTAACTGTCGAAAGATGCAGATAAAGATGATGTTGTTCCAACCCAATACATAAGACTTATTGGATCATTGAGATACCTTTGTCATACAAGGCCTGACTTAACATATAGTGTAGGTATGGTAAGTAGATTTCATGCAGAAGCCAAAGGTATCACATCTAGCAGCAGTGAAGAGGATATTAAAGTATCTCAAAGGAACTTTCGGTTATGGTATTTTGTTTCCTGCAGCTGATAAAGGAAAAGAATGTAAGTTAGTGGAATACACTGATTCGAGTTGGTGTAGTGATGCTGAAGATCGAAAGTCAACAGCAGGATATGTGTTTATGCTAGGTGGTGCACCAGTTTCTTGGAATTCAATAAAGGAACCAGTAGTGGCATTTCCATCATGCGAAGCAGAATACATAGCTGCTTCCCTTTGTGCATGTCAAGCAACTTGGATGGTGAACTTGGTCGAAGAGATAACAGGGAAAGATCATGGAACAATTACCATGAAGATCGATAGCATGTCAGCTATAAATCTGGAAAAGAACCCAATATCACATGGTCTAAGTAAGCACATCTAAATGAGGTTCCATCATCTTCGAGAGCAAGTAGCAGATGGTAAGATGAAATTAGAACACTGCAGAACTGAGAATTAGATTGCAGACATCATGACGAAGGGAGTGCAAGTCAAAATATTCATAAGGCTAAGAGTCATGATGATATAGATAGTTTAGAAATAATGAATTAGGTGGTGCGTTAAATTGTAATTCATAGTGTCGAAAAGATTAGATATGTTTAGATTTAAATAGATTTGATTTAAGTTTAGAATAGATTAGATTTGATTTAGTAACAAAATAGATATTTTAGGCTTTGGGCTTAGGGTACAAACTCAGTTATAAATAGAGGGAGTAACCCTTATTTTTTGTAAGCAAGTCAAGCAAATCATTCACAGTATTTTGCAGTTGCAAAGTGAATAAGAAAGTTTTCACAGTTTGTGAGCAGAGAGAAACTCTGCAAAAATTATTTGTCTTGTCTTCTTTCTTTGTTTGTCTCATAATTAAATTGTCATTGTGATAGAAATTTTTCATAGACTTTGGTGAGTTTCCAACACATGGGACCATTTTTAACTTTTTATATTTATACCC